TTTTTATCGCAGATGCTGCGTTTCCATTATGTACTCGTATAATGATCCATCAGCAATATTCTTCCACTATTCTTCAGTTGGACATGTTAAATATAGAGGCTGTAATATATTAACAATAACTAGACACACTTCTTTCATTAACTGTCTAACAGTTGACTGTCTAACTCGAAAAGAAAATGCAATACTTACTACTGAATTCCCTGTTGCAAGATATCTGAAAAATGTATCACAATTTTTGCTGTATAGTTTATAATTTCGTGAAATATTTTTTTCTAACAATGATTTCTAAATATAACTAAAAATTTAGAAAGTAGTAATACCAAACAATTTCTTACTAATAAACTATATTTACCTTAATGTTATTATTAACTTGTGTTCCGGAGACAGAGCTTTCTTAGTTTTTTTTACCAAATAAAGTCTTAGCATGGTTGATAACTTGTTAAAATGTTGAACATTCATCCTGACATATTTGACAAACATGTCTTCATCAGTTTTTAATTCTTGAAATAGATTTTCATTCTCCTTGTTGTTTTCTCTGTTGATTAATTGGTCTCACGAGCCATCTTCTATTTTTCCATCTTTTGTGTGTTTTTCTCCGTTTTAGTCTCATATAATAAATTAAGAGTAATGACAACAATAAACATTTTAACTTCATAGACCTTGATGTTTTCATATTTGTTGACTTGAGAACCTAAAATTTTATTTCAATATTTATATGTCAAACATATTCTATACATAGTATTGGGAAGAGGTTATAGCGCAATATTTATAATTTTGTACAGATATATTTAACAGTTTAATAAAATTAATATGTGCTCAATATAGACATTTCTAATTATGACTAAAGATAAATTATTATTGTTTCTTTACTTATTGTTCAATAATCTGATTTAATTACTTTTGTCACAGAATCTCTATGTTTCTTCGTAACGTAAAGCCCATTCTACAATTGCGTGAACGTGGATGTAAGTGGTTGTAAGTGATTACGACAACCAATCAGAGTAAAGCAATCAGTGAATAAAACGTTCGGGTTGGTTGACTCTTACGTTCACGACTGCGCTTACGCAATTGTAGAATGGGCTTAACGTAACGTAAAATTTTCGTGCGTTGCCATACGTTCAGCTTACGTCTTACGTAACGTAAGGTTGTCACCTAAGGTGGCATAAGGAGCTACGGCAATGTTCGTGCGCTAGCCCTAAGTGTGCATCACACGTATTGTAAGACAGCATTTAAGACGTGGCGACCACGTCTTATTATACTATGTCTCTCTCGCTGTTACGTCTACGATAGAGGATGAAAGATCGCCGCGACTTCCACCGAACCGTTCGACGATCTTGTACCACTAACCTCCACCATTCCGCTTTCTCGTGGCTCACCTACAGGCAGCAGTGTTAAGTGACGTGTCATCGGGTACAAGTCACGGACGTACAGACAGCATAAAGGCCTTTGCACAATGCCAGGCTACAGGCAATAGAAATAGGCATTAATCAATAGGAACAGGGAATAGAAATAATGGACCAACCCGAATTCCTATTCCCTGTTCCTATTGCGTGTTGCCTAGCATTCTGCAAAGGCCTTTACTGCCGGTTAGTGTACATTTCATAACGGAGATACATAACCTCTTAGTAGACGACAGCAACAGACGGCAACATACGAGAAATAATCGGTTTCCGAGAGCAGCCAAACGTTTGGGATAAAAAAAAATTAATGCTCATGCGGGGGGGAGAGCAGCGAAACCAAAATGGTATGTACATAATACTAATTGGGAACAGAAGCGTCTTTTTAAACGTGTACACTAGTGTACTGTTTGTCAGTATTTATTGCCACATGCATTTTTTTACGTTTCTTACTTCCCATAAATGGTCTGATTTGACGTGTACTGCTTGTCAGTAACAATTGCCACATACGTCTATTTTGACGTATATGGTGCTTGTCAGTTTTTATCAGAGTCATATTATTAATGATATGCTACTTGTCAGTAAGTATTGTTAAAGTCGTTCTTTTTTTACATGTGGTGCTTCTCAATAGTTATAAGCACAGTCGTTTTATTTGACGTCAGCTGTTTTGCAGCAATGACAAGCAAAGGCGCCTTATTTCACGTGTGCTGCTTGTCAGTAACTACTGTCAGAGTCTTTTTTATGTATGCTGCTTTGCAGTAGTTACAAGCAAAATCATTTTATTAGATATATGATGCTTGTCAGTAACAATTGTCACATATGTCTTTTTTTGCCATATAAGGTGCTTCTCAATTGTTATTACCACACTTGTCTCATTTAACATGTATTGCTTGTCTGCAAGTATTTGTACAGAAATTTTTGTTTCACGTGTGCTTCTTGCCAATGTTTTACATGTATGGTCCTCTTGCTTTCAATAATACTTGTTGCCAGAAACACGTAAGGTAAAGCACACTCCTATAGAATGAATTCTCTTCTTTCAACCATTGAGTGATTATTTTTAGTTGAAAGTAAAAGTAAATCTTGTGTATTTCAATCGATTAAAATATTTACTCCTATGGAATCAAAATGTACTTCACATTTTGAATGAAACATTTACTCTTATGATTTCGACTGACACTATTTTCACTATCTTGAGTGAAAATATTGCTACTTTTCATTTCAAGAAATGTAAAATGTACCATTACCGTCTCCAAAAAAAAAAAAAAATAAAAACGGTATTACAAGTAACGCTTTACAGTGTAACTCCGCAGATAGCGCACACACTTGAGAACCGAATATATGTATAATCGGTACTTGAGGGCCGAAGAATATATTTCATTAATAGACCGAGTGTGTTCAATTTTTTAGTAGCGAAACTCGGCTAAAAACAAACATAAAATATTAGGTAAATAGAGAAGAGAAGCAAAAACCGAATACCTTTATCTTTCTGATTCTGCGTTAAAAGAAAAACGGAAGTACGAGTTTCGCTATCTCTTTCCATCTCTTTCTCGTTATCATCATAACTCGACTTTTATTAGGACCTTAACTTAGTTTCCGCTTAAAAAATACTGAGAAAAAGCATTTATTGTAAAAAATTTATTTAAATTATTTCAATGAAAGTATTTTCCATCACTTTCTACAACTTTTTGCCATCTTTCTGGCAACTGGGCGATACCATCTCGATAAAACGATGTTTGTTTCGAAGCAATCCATTCGTCCACCCATTCTCGCACTTCTTCAACATTTCGGAAGCGTGTACCACTCAAGCCGTGCTGCATCGATCTGAACAAGTGGTAATCAGAAGGCGCTATGTCTGGTGAGTA